TCCTATCTCTGTTTTCTTACCTCCTGTTTTCCTTTTGACATTCCATCCCCACCCACACGCCTTGCAGTGAAGTGTCGCTGGAGCTATGTCTGTAATTAAGAGATACACGCCCATAGGACCAGGCTGTGGGCAGCCTCTGGCCTCAAGGCCCCTCCCCTGGACAGGCAGGAAAACAGGCAGGAGACCATCTCCCCCCTGCCTCCCTCCAGGGCCCTGCACCATCCTGCTCCCTTCCCAGCTTCAGGCCATGCTTGGGCCCACTCCTGCCAGCAAAGTTTGGGAGCCGGCAGCCTCTTCTGCAGCTGTGTCCTCCCTGAGCCCTGAAGGGGGCCTCCTGAATAAAGCACCACCCCCAAAGCCAGTGGGCAGGGGCAGGGGCACAAATAAGGCCACAAGCCATAGATGTAGGTAAGTTACACAGCACGCTCCCAGGCCGGTCGTGGTGGCTCACGCCTGGAATCCCAGCACTTTGGGAGGTCAAGGCGGGCAGATCACCTGAGGTCAAGAGTTTGAGACGAGCCTGGCCAACATAGTGAAACCCCATCTCTACTAAAAATACAAAAATTAGCTGAGCATGGTGGTGGGCACCTATAATCCCAGCTACTTGGGAGGCTGAGGCAGGAGACTTGCTTGAACCCGGGAGGCAGAGGTTGCAGTGAGCTGAGATCGTGCCACTGCCATCCAGCCTGGCAGACAGAGCGAGACTCATCTCAAGAAGAAGAAGAGGAGATTTGATTGGCCAGGGCTCTGCAGGCAGTGCAGGGAACGCGGTGGCATCTGCTTCTGGGGAGGCCTCAGGAAGCCTCCAGTCATGGCAGAAGGCAAAGGAGGAGCCGTGTCTCCCGCGGCGGGAGGGGAAGCAAGATGATGGAGGTGCCACACACTCTCAAACAACCAGATCTTTCGTGAACTCGCTCATCACCATGGAGATAGCCCAGGCCTTTCATGAGGGAGCCGCCCCCACAACCCCAACACCTCCCACCAGGCCCACTTCCAACACTGGGGCTACAGTCCAACATGCAATGCAGGGGGCTCGCGTCCAGACCAAATCTGCCCTGGAGGCGACGGCATGAGGAGGTGGGGGCTCTGGGAGACTCGGCCGTGGGGGCGTTGCCCTCATGGAGGGGACAAGTGCCTGGTAAAAGGGACTGAGGGACCCTTCCATTCTTCTGGCACGTGAGGACACAGACAAGGCACCACCTTTGAGGAACGGGCTTTCACAGGACATGGAACCTGCTGGCACCTTGACCTTGGACTTCCCGGCCTGCAGAACTGTGAGGAATGAATTTCTGTTGCTGGTGAAGACTCAGTCCCAGGCATTTTGCTACAGCAGCAGGAATGCGCGTTGACGGTGCCTAAGACAGGACCCGCCTCTTACCTAAGAGAGCGAAAGCTGTGAGCTCACGTGGCCGCGAGCACTGAAGAGCCCGCAGGCTGGGGAAGCGACATTCGGTAGAACAGTGACTGAGCACTTTCCAGAACTGAGGGAAGCACGCATCCTCAGGTTGGTGAATTTCAAGAATCACGAGCGGGAGGAATAGAAATACCCCCACACGTGGAGGCGCCGTGCAGTCCCCCTGCCTCGGGAGAGGTGGACGCGGCACATGGCCGGACGCAAGTGACCCATGACCACTCGAAACGAGCTAATTGCTGAAAATGACCCCAACAAAGAGCACAGTGCACCCGGATTCTAAAATGCAGTGACAAAACCTGGATGCTGAGACCCAGAGGGCGGTGTGAGCAGCGGAAATAGGGCCAGTCTCAGGAGATCATTAAGAAAACTCTGGGCCGGGCGCGGTGGCTCACGCCTGTAATCCTAGCACTTCAGGAGGCCGAGATGGGTGGATCACCTGAGGTCAGGAGTTCAAGACCAGCCTGGCCATCATGGTGAAACCCCATCTTTTAAAAAAAAAAAAAAAGAAAGAAAGAAAACCCTGAAGAAAACATCAAAACTGAAATCCAGCCACACGCGAGGCACGCACACACACCACACTTGCCAAGTTGGAGTTTATATCCCAGGAGCCCCAAAAAAGGCTCAACGTTGGAAATTCTTAACATGAATGCGTTAAAAGAGAAAACCGTTGAGTATCTCAATCCAACATATAGTCATGATTTTTTAAAACAGATGTAAAGCAGACTTTATTCAAGGAGGGCCAAGGCGGTGGGGCCCCTGCCACGGCCTTGCAGGACTGGGCTCAGCTCCCCGCGAAAACCTTCTCACGAAAGAGGAAGTGGACATGTTCTTATAACATGGTCAGGGGTGTCTAGGAAAGGCCTGCAGCCCACGTCGTGTGGACTGCCAGAATCCAGGAGGGTGCCAGCTACGCTCCTGCGTCTGACTTTGTCCAGGGGTTCTGGTCCTCGCGTGGCCAGCCCCGGCCTGAGCCACATCTCCGGGTGGAATGTTTGGCATGTCTCCAGGAGCGGCTTCTCACATCCGTCCGCCAGGTGTCTCTGTCCAGGCCGCCTCCCCAGCGGCTCCGTGCTCCCACCTGGCCACTCATAGAAGGACACCGTTCACATCCTAAGAAGGAAACTTCCCGGCCTGAGCCCCCACTGCTCAGGCCCTCCTCCAACTAAAGATTCACCAGAAATTTCCCTGAGTTGTGCCAGGAATCAAGGGGCACCATATCATCTGTAGCCACCAAAGACACCACACTCACAATCCAGCACACGTGGCCCTGGGCAGGGCTGGCCGACTCCACACTCCACAGCCCCCACCCCAGGAACGTTTGAAGACTGAGGCATGGGCTTGGGTGCCGGTGAGTTCGTAGCGGGGATCCTCCAGCCCAGCCACGGAGTCACGGCTGTCCCTTCCCGAAGGCTTTCTCAGGCTGGGCAGGGCCCTCCCCAGGCCCACTGCAGCCAACAGACGAGGCCTCAGGCTGGCGGCGGCACGCGGGAGGGCAGGCCCAGCTCCAGCCGGGCTGGAATGACCCCGTGGTGATTGTCCTGACGTTGCAGGTGGGCGAGGCGGGCCTCAGTGTTGGGGTGACTCGGGGTGGAGAGGACTCCTAGAGGAGGGAGCTGACCCGTCCGTCGTGTCAGCACTTGGTGCCGGGACCCCCCAGGATGACCCCAGGCCCGACTCCAGCCCCTTTACCTCTCGTCTAAAGGAACACCATGTGGCACATCGAGATCCAGGAGGGGCAGCTAGAGGCTTTCCGGATGGCGAACCACGAGGAGGCAGAGGCTGTGGGGCGGCAGCTCCAGGTCCACACGGCTGAGCAGCTCTGCAGGGAGCAGGAAGCCCTGGGGAAGGTCGAGCGGAACCACCTGCTGAGGGTCCGGTAAGCGGCACCCAGACCCGCCTGTGCCCTGAAGCTCCTGCCAGCCCCTCCGCCTTCTCCCCCAGGGGTCTCCAGAACCAGCCTCGCCCTCCACATCTGCCTGGTTCCACCTCTACCCCTCCCTGCCTCCTCCCAGCTTGCTTCTCTGCCAGGCCCTTGAGTCCCTCCCAGGTGTTAGGTACCCCCGTGCACCTGCCCAGAGCCCCATCCCTCCTGAGATGCCACGGCCACCATACAGTCACCAGAGCTGGCCACCAAAGCCAGCCACTAAAGCTGGCCACTAAAGCCAGCCACAAAAGCCGTGCTCCAGCGAGACTGCCCCTCTCCTTTCCCTCCTGCAGCCCCATCCTCTTCCCAGCCAGGCCATTCTCTGGGCTCCATCCCACCTCTGGCTGCTCCTTTGCACCCCTCCCCCAGTCCCCACCCCCGGCCGTGGAGCACTCAGGCCCGTTCCCCACACATCCGCTGTGCAGCCAGGGTCCAGCCACCTACGAGGCCAGTCCCCAGGTACTCCACAGGCCATCAAGCCAGCTGTCCCAGCCTGCCGTGAGCCTCTCTCCTTGGGACCCCTGCCAGCCTCCATCCTATCCCTCATCTCATTCCGTCCCTTCAGCTGCCCAGGCCACAAACCCCTGTGGAATCCAGGCCCTGGCTGCAGACATTCACAAGGTCCGCAGCCCCTGCCTCCTCCCTCCCCACAGCACGGCTGCGCCTGCCCCGTCCTCCTCCCAGACCCCGGCCCAGCCCGGATCAAATCTTGCCTTCGGTGGCTCCCTGGCACAGGAACCCCAGTGGTGTGGAGAGTTTGACATCCATGTGGCCCACGGCACCAGCTCTCCAGGGACCCTCGCTTCTCCCAAGGGAGGCTGTGCAGGATGGCTGAGCAGGGCCCACAGCATCTCTGGGACACGTGCTCCGGCTGTGCGGGGCCTGGGGGGCAGACGGTGTGTGCAATGCTGAGTTTCCCCCTGACGGCCCTCCGGCCCCACAGGAAGTCCCTGCACACCCAGAAGGAGCATGGGCTCAGGCACCAGAAGCTGCTGGACGATGCCCGGAAGAACCACAGGGTCGCCGTGCGGTTCCTGAAGGCCTCCCTGGGAAGGTAGGGCTTCCTCTCCTGGCGTTGTCCTTCCCTTCAGTGCTCTTAGGGAGAAACCCAAGAATTCGAGTCACTTGCTTTTGTCTTGAAATTCCCCGATTTTATTATTATTATTTTGAGATGGAGTTTTGCTCTGTCGCCCAGGCTGGAATGCAGTGGCACAATCTCAGCTCACTGCTCCGCCTCCCAGGTTCTCCAGCCTCAGCCTCCCTAGTAGGTGTAGGGGTGCTGGCCCCGCAGGGCCGTGGGGTGTCCCTTATGCTGTGCTGAGATGCAGGATCCAAGAATTAAAGAGACAGGACACTGAAGAACTGGAGAAGAGCATCTGGACTTGGGGGCCAAGCCACCTGTGAGCAGGGACAGGCGAGGCCCTGAACGCCCAGAAGTGTCTGTATTTATTAGGTACAATCAGATGTAAGGGTCGTGAGTGAGGTCATCATCTATAGGCTTAGTGATAGGGCATACGTAATCACCTGAGTCACAAGCGAGGGAGCCACCCCATTGTCACCTGGGCAGAAAGGTGGGCCGTGCGCAGTAGCAGAGGGTCGTGTACAGAAAAGGGGTCCACCCCCATTAGGTGACCGAGGCAAGGAGGTGGGCTGTGTGCAGCAGGTGTCGTGCGCAACACTTCTTACCTGGGGGCTGGAGGCTTCGAAGGGTTTCTAATAGAAGGATGCTGTAAGCCAGTGCAGTGGGAGCTGACAGACGTGTGCTCTTCTCTAAGATATTTATGGGAGGATGATTTGAGCCAGCACAGAAGGGAGAAAAGACTGACAGGGTGCACAGCCGCCGCGACTGGTCACACCAGGGGGGTTCTTCTCCCTCGGTTACTTCCAGGATCTCAGGCCTGAGGCCGACTTTCCACAGGAACTGGATGCAAGGTGCTACAACTCCTTTATCAGGAGGAGAGGCTCCTGCTCCAGGCCTGCCATACGGCGTTTGCCCTTTCAGGCAGGGACGCCACCGCCTGGGTCTCTGGTTCTCGTCCTGGTCTGGCTGTTCTCCCATGTACTGCGTCTGTTCTGTGACTGCTCCAGGCATTCCTCCTAGTACAAACTACTATACGGTTGTATGGAAGGAGTCTATAAATCAGCACTAAATGTGTCGGTACAGCTCCGACTACGATACCTGTATGATTATATAGGAAGATTACATGGTACTACGTATGATTGTATATATAAGCTAGTATATAGTAAGCAGTGAGTTATATGATTATATAGAAAGATTATATGGGACTAAGTACGATCATATATATAAGCTAGATATGAGTAAGCCGTCGGTGAGTTATGCTTCAGGCACTAATTGTGCCGGGGGTCTGCACAGTTCCCCTTCCTCCATGCCCATGGAGGGTGTTACCCACAGCTGTGATTACAGGCATCCACCACCACATCCAGCTAATTTTTGTATTTTTAGTAGAGACGGGGTTTCACTATGGGCCATGCTGGTCTTGAACTCATGACCTCAGGTGATCCACCTGCCTCAGCCTCCCAAAGTGCTGGGATTGCAGGTGTGAGCTACCATGCCTGGCCCCCTGATTTTATTATTAAATCACCACTTTATCATCAAAAACCAGGAAATCTGTATTTTTAGTGCAGAGTTGCGGTTTCTTTTCTGAAGAGGACAGTGAGATGCCTGGGCGTGTTCCCGCCGGGTCCTGGTGGCTGGCCTTCCACAGCTGCACCTTCTGCCCGTCCCAGCTCTTGTGTTGTCACCGTTGATTATGTTCTGATGGAAATGGCAGCACCGAGGCTCCCGTAACGACACCCCACACAGCATCACTATGTCACTTCCTCCGTTAAAAATGTGGCCAGCTGTGGTGGCCCACGCCTCTGATCCCAGCACTTTGGGAGGCTGAGGCGGGAGGATCGCTTGAGCCTGGGTGGTCGAGACTGCAGAGAACTGTGATCACATCACTGCACTCCAGCCTAAATGACAGAGTGAGACCGCCTCAAAAAATTTTCAATGTCCTTCCTCAGAATCCGGGAGCAAGAGAAGAAGGAGGAACTGGAGTGCCAGGAGCACCTGAGGCGACGCATGGACGCTGTGGTGGCGCTGAAGGGCAGCATCTCCGCCAGCCGGGTAGGCCCCGCAGCCCCACCCATCTCTCCCGCGGCTCCCTGCCATGTCCGTCTCTGGGGTCCTGCTCCTTGGGAGCCAGGCCCATGACCCTGGACATCCAGGGCTGACCTGCACTCTTGGTGGCCCCTGGAGGTTTCCTGAGTCTGTGCCACAGTTCGGTGTGGCTCAGGGCCAGGTGCTGGCATCAGGCAGCAGCGGGCAGCCCAGCCCTGCTCTCACGGGGCCTGGTCTTGTGGGAGGAGACTGACATTCCCACAAGGCACATGGAGAGCCGGGGCAGCTCGAGGCCATGCCCTGGGGCCAAGGCTGGGGGTCCAGGCCGGGAAAATGGAGGGCAGAGTGGGAACAGCATCTGCAAAGGCTCAGAGGTGAGCAAAGGCAAGCAGGTGACGTGCAGAGACAGCCACAGCCCCATGCTCGGGATGTGCAATTTGCCAGTTGTCTACCATGGCTTCTACGGGCATTGACATTGGATTAAGGACACCTGTTCAAAGGAAAGGCCCAGTGTGTGTGTGTGTGTGTGTGTGTGTGTGTGTGCGCGCGCATACATGCAGGTACACATGTGTGTGCGTGTGTATGCAGGTGTGCATCTGTGAGCATGTGCATGTGCACGTGTGTGCATGTGTCAGCGTGTGTGTGTGTATGCAGGTGTGCAGAGTGTAGCATGTGCACATGTGCATGTATGAGCATGTGCATGTGTGTGCAGCTGTGCACGGGCGCACGTGCGTGTGTGTACAGGTGCGTGTGTGTGCAGGTGTGCATGTGTGAGCATGTGTGTGTGCACAGTGTGCAGGTGTGCAGGTGAGCATGAGCATGTGTCCGCGTGTGTTGGCGCTGTCACCTCAGTGCTTTCTATTTCCAAGGACACGCTGCGGAAGTTCCACGCATGGGGCCGTGCCAAGGCACAGCTGGCAGAGCAGAGGGCCCAGGCTGAGAAGAAGGCAATTCTGGCTCAGGGCGGGGACGCGTTCAGGCACCTTGTCCACCAGCGCCGTCGCCGGGAGCTGGAGGCCCAGAAGAGGTGAGGGTCATGGAGAAGTGCCGCTGGGAGGTGCCCGCCCAGTCAGCGGGAGCGGGGAGGGCCAAGGGGAACTCACAACGAGCAAAGCTGTGCCCTCTCCCAGGGCCCCCACTCAGGCAGCTGTGGGGCATGGGAACAGGGGCTCCAGGCCGCCACCCTTGCCCTGCCTGGGCCTGACTCGGGCTGGCCGGCCCTGCCCCTACCCTAGTCCACGTCAGCCCTCGGCCCCTTCTCCCCTCCTGGACTCTGAAACCCTGGCCCCTCTGGAGAGCTTGCACCTCCTGTCCTGGCTTCTCAGGAGAAGGGACTGGCAGGCTCTTTCCCAGCCCACCCAGAAGTCTCCAGGGAGCACCAGGCCCCCAGCCTGGGGACATTTCCACGCCCCTCCAGGGAACCTGGAACTGCTCAGCCTTCCTTGCTCACTCTGTCTGGGGCCGTCCACCTGGCTTCCTGGTGCCACTGCCTTGGACCCCCCCCAGCCCCTCTGGCCACCCTCCCACCATGACACTGCTTCTGGCTTCACTCTCTGGTCTCCCCAAAACCAGGGCCCATGCTGCCCTCTCAGACCCCCACTGTCAGACCCCACTGTGGGAACGGCTTCCTGAGATCCAGACCCTCCGGCCGGGTTCCTACAAGTCCCCTCCCTCCCACTCAGTCTGGCCTTTCCCAGCCCTGCCCATAACACTCCCTGGTGACCTCCGTGCAGACACAACCCTGTCCCAGGCTTTGCCGGAAGCTGCTCTCATCCCGGGAGCCTGGCCCTTTCTTCCCATCCTGGCCTCCCATGCACGGCTCCGGCCAGTCACTGCTTCAGATCTGCCTGGGCAGGGCTCCTGGCCCTTTCGCTGGTCGAGGCGTCCTCCTCTGGGTGCCACAGAGCCCTGAGGGCATCCTCTCCACCCCCCCCCAGTCATGATTGAGGTTTTCCACCACCCATCAGCCTGCCCACCTGGGAGGGGGTCCTGGCAGCGGCTCCACCACCTGCACGTTCCTTAGCCTGGCGCAGGTCTGGCACGTAGGAGGCACCCAGGAGGTGTGGCTGCAGGGAGTGGATGAGTGTCCTCAGCCTGGTGCCACCCTCAGTGGCAGCCCCACACCAGCCTAGAAACAAGGGCTGGGGAGAAGCCCTGGGGGCAGTCAAGGCTGCTCAGGGACTGGGCTGCTAAGGCGGGCAGGGCAGGGCAGGACAGGGCTGGGCTGGGCTGAGCTGGGGTTTAAGCCTGGATCCTCTGCTCTGGCCTCTGCCCATCTGCTCCCCACGGAACCTGCGTTCACCCCAGGACCCGGAAGTTCCCACCCCAATAGCCCTGCTAGGGAGGACCGGAGACCCCAGGAGAGTGCTAGGGAGGGGCCGCTGGGCACCATGTCACCTGGGGCAAGACTCAGGCCGGGGGCCTATCGCGCGTGTCTGACTCCCCATAGGGCCTTTGAGGAGGGGCAGAAGCTCAGAAAGCAGGAGATCGTCAGTCGGATTCTGAAAGAGGAGGCTGAGGAGGAAAAGAGGAAGAAACAGCGTCCCCCCACCAGTGCCACGCGCCAGCCAACCCTGAGGGACAAGACCTGGAAATACATCTCTGACTTTTGCGAGAAGACCACAGCCCCAGCCAACACGGACACACTGGTGAGCACGACGCCTGCCGGGGACTGAAGCCGCACACCTGCGGAGGGAGGCGGGGCCTCAGGGCGCGGGTGTGGGCAGGCGTCCTCTGAGGACCTCAGCACCACAGCCACCCTCTGAGTGGCGGCCACTCAGCTCAGGGGAAAGGGGACAAGACCCACCACAGACCCACCGCACGAGGGAGACCCACGGCTGCAGGGTCCCCCCAGGGGTCCGGTGTCCTCCGAGTCTCAGTGCCCCCACCAGGCCCCGCGTCGCCCTCGGCAGTGCTGCTGCTCACCAGGCGGGGTCCACCTTGCCTGGCCCTGTAGAGAGCCGGCTGCCAGGGAGAGGCGCGTGGCGTTCAGAACGCACGCCAGGGGTCACCCTGCAGCAAAGACTCCTGATAGCACCCAGGGACAGCTTTCCTGTCACTCATTCATTCACTCATTCATTCATTCCGTCACTCACTCCTTCCCTCACTCACTCACTCATTCACTCATTCACTCATTCCGTCACTCACTCATTCCCTCACTCACTCATTCAGTCAGTCATTCACTCATTCATTCATTCCGGCACTCACTCATTCCCTCA